CTCCTCCCACCAACATTTCTCCACCTTAGTTCATGTCCATGGGTCATACATATAAGTTCTTTGGCTTCTCCATTTCTCATACTATTCTTAACCCCCTGTCTATTTTGTATCTACCATATATGCTTCTTATTCACTGTACCTTTTTCTCCATTTTCCCCTCTCCTCTGATAACTCTCTATGTGATCTCCATTTCTGTGATTTTGTTCTTGTTCTAGTTGTTTGCTTAATTTTTGTTTCTTTTTAGGTTCAGTGGGTCATAGTGGTGAGTTCATTGTCATTTTACTGTTCATATTTTTCATCTCCTTTGTCTTAGATAAGTCCCTTTAACATTTCATATAATAAGGGCTTGGTGATGATGAATTCCTTTAACTTGACCTTATCTGGGAAGCACCTTATCTGCCCTTCCATTCTAAATGCTAGCTTTGCTGGAGAGAGTAATCTTGGATGTAGGTCCTTGCCTTTCATGCCTTCAAATACTTCTTTCTAGTCCCTTCTTGCCTACAAGGTTTGAGAAATCAGCTGATAGTTTTATGGGAACTCCTTTGTAGGTAACTCTCTCCTTTTCTCTTGCTGATTTTAAGGCTCTCTCCTTCTTTTTAATCTTGGTTAATGTAATGATGATGTGCCTTGGTGTGTTCCTCCTTGGGTCTAACTTCTTTGGGACTCTCTGAGCTTCCTGGACTTCCTAGATGTCTATTTCCTTTGTCAGATTGGGGAAGTTCTTCTTCATTATTTTTTCAAATAAATGTTTAATGTCTTGCTCTTTATCTTCTCCTTCTGACACCCCTATGATTTAGATGTTGTAATTTTTAAAGTTGTCCTGGAGATTCCTAAGCCTCTTCTCATTTTTTTGAATTGTTTCTTCATTCTGTTCTGGTCGAATGTTTCTTTCTTCCTTCTGCTCCAAATTGTTGATTTGAGCCCCTGTTTCCTTCCCTTCACTGTTTGCTCCCCGTACATTTTCCTTTATTTAACTTTCATAGCCTTCCCTTCTTCCTCTCTTTTGTGACCGTATTCAACCATTTCTGTGAGCAACCTGATTACCAGTGTTTTGAATTCTGCATCTGATAGGTTGGCTCTCTCTTCATTGCTTAGTTCTGTTTTTTGAGCTTTGGTCTGTTCTTTCATTTGGGCCATATTTTTTTGCCTCCATGTGCCTGTTACATAGTAAGGGGTGGAGCCTTAGGTATTCACCAGAGTGACATATCACTGGCTTGTGGCACTATATGTGGTGGAGGGGTCTGAGAGGGAACAATGCTGCTTGCTCAGCTGGCTTTCAGTCACTTCCCCCGCTTCCAACTAGAAAATTGGGCCCTTCTGGTGCTGATTCCCAGGTGGGTAGATTTGTGTACATTCTAGGACTCTGTGGGTCTGTCTAACAAACTCTCCTGTGAGGCTGGGGGTTTCTCCTGCTGCCGCAACCCCCACATGTTTTTGATGTCAGAGGTTTGAGGCTTTATTTCCCTATGCTAGAACCCTGGGTTGCATGATCTGTCTCGCTCCCCAGTTATTCCTCCTGGTTTATCCATGTGCAAATGTGGGACCACCTGGTCCTCCAGCCACTGCCTTGCCAGGAGTCCTCTTCCCCCCAACTGCTCATCTCTGACCCTACTGCTGGTCTGGATGTATGTTTCTTCTTTAAGTTCTTGGTTGTCAGATGTCTACAGAGTTTAATTTTCTTGCAGTTCTGGTTATTTTTTGTTTTTAAATTTGTTGTGGACTTTATTTTGGTTGTACGATGAGGCACAGTGTATCCACCTATGCCTCCATCTTGCTCAGTAGTTCCTAAATTTTCTGATTTTAAAATTTTAACTTTCATTTTTGATGGAAATATATACACAAATTTGGAATAATTTGAACATACAAATCCTTTATTAGTGTTGTCCAATAGAACTTCCTATGATAATGGGAATGTTCTATATTTATGGTATCCAATGCAGTGGCTATGTGGCTACTGTGGCTACATGTGGTTACTGAGCATTCACAATATAGCTGACACTGCTGAGAAACAAAACTGAAATGTGGCTAGGTATGACATACAGAACGGCACAGCTTCAGATCACAGATGTCACTACAACACAAATTTGTGACAATCTTCATTATAGTTAGTGATTTTAGTGAAATAAAGAGAAAATCAACTTTATGGAATAAATATGTTATGAATGAATTATACGTGTCCTTATTTTATTACTAATCCATACAGACTACTGACAGAAAATGCACATATTCAAAATGATATATTCAGTTGCCTTTGATATTTTGCTGACTTTTGTCATGTAGAAACTATAGGTTTTCTATGCATACTGGTGCAGTCACTGTGGAAAACAGTGTGGAATTTCCTCAGAAAACTAAAAATGGAACTGCCTTTTGACCCAACAATTCCACTGCTAGGATTATATACCCTAAGAGTCCTGAAACACCAATCCAAAAGAACCCATGCACCCCAATGTTCATAGCAACACAATTTACAATAGCCAAGTGCTGAAAGCAACCCAAAATGGATAAAAAAACTATGGTACATTTATACAATGGAATTCTATGCAGTAGAAAGAAAGAAGGAGCTCCTATCCTTTGCAACAGCTTCAATGGAACTGGAAAGCGTTATACTAAGTGGAATAAGCCAGATGGTGAGGGACAAATACCATATGCTCTCACCTTTAACTGGAACATAATCGACAAAAGAAAAAAATCAAACAAAATATAACCAGAGACATTGAAATTAAGAACAATCTAACAATAGCCAGAAGGGAGGGTGAGAGGACAGTGGGAAGAAGGGTTTTCAGGAACTACTATAAAGGACACAGGGACAAAACCAAGGAAAAGGGTGGAAGCAAGAGAGGGAGGTGGGTTTGGAGGGGATGGGGTGAAGAGGAAATATGGACAACTGTAATTGAGCAACAGTAAAATAATTCAAATTAAAAAATATAGGTTTTTTATCTTTCGATATTTGATATTTTTGTTACATTTGTCAAGGTAGGAAGATATAATAGCTTGGTAGTGTGATAAATAACTTTGTAATGGTTAGACATATGATTGGTCTTCATTTGTACCAATACTCCAAGCCCATCAATGTTAGGGGTTGACTAACAGCACCCCAATTCTGACCAACCACTCTGTAATGTTACTATTGTCCTTAGAGAGGCAGGAGTATCACATGGTTGGACTAAAATTTTAAAAAACCCAAACAACCCCCCACCCTCGAAAAAAGAAGTTAAAGTAAATGTCCCACTAAAAGAATTCCAACAGGAATTCCAATACATTCCTCTTCACTTAGAATTAGTCCGATCAATTTATTTTCAACACAGGGCTTCCATTTGAGTCCAACACTGCCTTGGCCAGTTAGCTCTAAGAGGGAGTAATGAAACAGTAGTTGTCATGACTTGCAAGGGAAGGGGCTGCTGACAAAACACCACCTGTTTGCAATGTGAATTACAGGTTAATGAGGATAGTCAGCTTAACATCCTAATGGTAGAGAGCAGAGATGATGGAAATGCATTCCCTCCCACTAAGCTTTAAGTAACAGAAGGAAGGAAAGGGTATCTTCAAGTTACCAGGGTAGCAGCAGTTGGAGTCCCTGCTGGGCTTTCTTTCCACTGATGCAGGAACATAGCTGCTTCCCACCCCTCTGCCAAGCCACCTTATACCTTTCCATGGCCCTGAGTGCTCCATTTTTAGGGCTTTTCCACTGAGGTCACCAAGGGATTTAGTCCCAGTTTTCCACAGTGGTAATCTGCTCATTAATACACTTTCCCCCCTCTGTCTCACTTTCACATTTCTGCTTTCTTGCACTGCTTTCTGGCATTATCTTCCCACTAAAACCCACTTGCTGTTAAACTCTTACTTCAGGTTTGTTTTGGGGGAGCCCAGTCTAAGACAACCTCTAGCACATAGCGCAGTGCCTAGCATATAGTATGGCCTTAAGAAATAATAGCTAACAAATGAACATACTTTGCCAATTAAATCCTACCCTAATATTAAATTCTTCATGCAATGTAAAGAAGTTACTCAGAAGTGACTAGACTGACTTCTCTCTCCTTTTGGATCCTCCACTTATCTACTAGCATAAACACTCCAATGGAAAACACATTACCACTTTAAAAAAGGGAACTTGGGCTCCATCATAGTGCACACAGAACATCAACAAAATGAAAACCCAGGTAACAGATTGGACCATCCTCACTTGCTGAGCCTATACAGTTGTGCAACTTCCCTTCCTCTCTGATACTTCACCTGTGCATTTTCTAGTTAAAGAAGGCCGAACAAGTATGTATTTAGGGGAAGTAACAGGATGATGTAAGGTTATATTATGAAGCAAATGATTAACATAGAGTATTTTAAAGAGCACTTCTGAAAAGGATCAAGTAAGTGAAATTCCTGAAGAGGAGCATGCTTGTTGGAACATCAGAGGCAAAGTTGTCTAGTAACTAAGAGGAGTCCACTGGAAACAGGGACAAGGTGAGTGTGGGATCAACGTACTTTAAGGACCTTTATAAGCACTAGGTGAAAGTAGAAATTAGTTCAGAGGAGCCCCGGGGGGGCACACCTGTATCAGGGATTTGCCTTCTTTCCCAGGTCACTACCTGTGCTAGAACACCGTGTTACTCTTGGTGTCTAATTTAACCTCTTCCCCGGTCTGCTATTGTGTTCAGTTAGCTGGGCCTGGCATCTATAGCTGTTTGGTGCTTGATCATTATGCATATCCCCAGGGAGACAGGGTTTGGGGGCAGTTTGTTTTGGGTAATTTTACAAAGTGGACCTATTTTCTGAAACATTTGAAGCTTTTTTACCCACTTGTTAACATAGTCATTCCATACCCCAAATGGTAAATTTCAAGACATTATTTGATTCATTTCCCGCACCTCCTCCTCTCCTTTTCCCCAACACTTCGCACCAGATACAGAAATCACTGGTTATGTTCAGACCCTCTTTCAGTGCGAAGCGGTTTTCCGTGCGTACACCGCCTACAGCCGCTTCGGCCCACTGGGGACCAAGGAGGCACAATGAAGCAGCAGAGCGCGTCCCGCCTTTGGGGTTCGGGAGCTCGGAGACAGGGACCTGTCAGTCCGCTGGGCCCACAGGGCCAGCTGGAGCGCTGCCGTCTCCGGGCGCTCAGGGCTACGGCTCTCCTTCCCCGGGCGCCCGCCAACTTCCTTTCTCCCCGGGCCCTTCGGAGCCTCCCTGACCCCCCTGGCTCCTCTTTCCCAAAGCCGCCGGGGATAAGGGATCCTGCGACTCTGGCCTGAAGCTGGCCCCGCTTGGTAACACTGGAGTCGGGGGTCGGGAACGGCGCTGCCTCGCCACTCTCGCAGGGCTGCAGGCCCCTGGTCAAGCCCGCCGCTCTCTCGAACTACTAGCGGCTCCTGACCCGGGACAAACTTCTGGCTGAGGCGCAACCCCTCGCCAGTTAAGGCCACAAAACAGTAGACGCGTCTGGGGCCAGGAAGGGGACGGGGTGAAACTCCGTCTCGCCGCCGTTCCTCTACGCTCCGGTGACGCCGCCTCGGCAGCGGCGGCAGCGGCAGCGGCAGCAGTAGCGCCGGCTGCCCCGAGCCGAGCTCCCTCCCGGAGGCGCCGCTGCCGCCCAGCTCCGGACGCCAGCCGGCGGGGCTGGACGCGCACGCCCTCTAGCGGACCGCGGCGGCACCTGACGGCTGTGACGTGGGCTCTCCCTTCAGCCGGCCTGCGGGGCACCGCCAGTCAGTCGGGGAGCAAGAGCCCCGCGCGGAGCCGGCGCGGGCTCCGCTACTGGCGCGCCGCCTCCCGGGGGCCGGGCTCGGGGCTGCCGGCGGACTGGCAGCGGGCGGGACGCAAGCCTCGGGTCTGGAGCAGGGGAAGAGGAGAGGCGGCAGGCGCAGCCGCCGGAACAGAGGGAAGATTTTGGCTCTGCCGAGGAGCCCTCCGTTCCCTCTGGCAGCAGCGCCAGACGCCGACTGGGGTCAGCGGCCGGGGAAGAGGACCCACGACCCTCTCCCTTCGCCGCGGGATCCTCTGGAGTTCGGACTTCTGCAACTGTTCGCACTTTGGAGTACTGGTTCTGTTTTTGGCGGTTTCCCCTTCTCTTCTAGCTGCCTCGAGCCCAAAGCCCCGTCCGCCCTCCGCCTTCTCGCGCCCACCCACCGCCTCCGGGGAGCGGCCCGGCACGCACTCTGCAACATGAGGAGGCTTGGGACTTGCCTGGCGACTTTGGTCGGACTTTTGCTAACTGCAGCCGGGGAGGCATTTTCAGGTAAGCAGGGCCAAGTTTGCCGTCACCTGAGGCACGCGGGCTGGAGCGGGAGCCGGAGACGCTGGCAACTTCCCGGTGGAGAGTCTAAGGCGGCGGCCGGTCGGGAGAGGGGGCGCGGCGGGCCGGGCACCGCGCCTGCCCGTTTGCCGGCTCTGGGTGCAGGGCCGATGGGGAAGGTAGGCACCTAGAACTCGAGCTGGCGGAGCGGACCGGGTTTGAGCACTAACCTTGGAGCCAAGGCCCCCATCTTGGCCCCCGCTGCTCCGCGGCCTGGGCTCCTGCTCGGGGCGGACGGCCACCGCTCCACCACTCCGAGTCCCCGGCAGGTTCCAAGAGGAACAGCAGAAAACTTTGCCTGAAGTTCGGAGCTGCAGCCGCCCGGCCGCCTGGCGTGGGCGCTGCGCCGTCCTTCGGACCCGGAGCCGCGGCCGGGAGTGTTCTCCGGTGCTCGGCTGCGGCCATAGCCCGGACCCGGCAGCAGCTCCAGCGACTGCGACGGTCGCTCTGCACCCTGCCCTTCCTGCCGCCGCCCCTGGCCGGTTGTCGCCGGTGACCGGGGCTCAGGCCGGCGGTAGCGTGGCAGCTCCGGAAAGCCAGCGCGGGCGTTCCTCGTTGGTCTCAGCTGGAGCACTCCGTGGCCGGGAGGGAGTAGCTTGGACCCCAGGCCTCGTGCCACGGTGCCCCTGGTCCCGCCAGACTCCGCTTTCCCATCCCCGACCCCCAGCGGGGCGCCGCTGGCTAGTGGCAACTTTCTTAGCCCGGCCGCGCCGGCCCGGGGGTCCCAGGTGGGGAGGAAAGGGGCTGGCAGTGCTTGAGAGTGAGTGTGTATGTGTGTGAGTGTGTGTGTGTACAAGCCTTGCGCGCGAGGGTCGTTCGTACCCGGAGCAGCCCCTGGCTGGCGGGACCTGTGGAGGCGAGGCCGGGGTCAGGCCAGGGGTCTAGCCGCGGCTCCCCGCTTGTATTTACAAGAATTACTTCTATGTCGCCGTTAGTACCCGGAGCATTTTTTGTGGATAACTAACAAACGCTTGCACGTTTGCACACTTTCTTTCTCCTGTGTATTAGTTTCATTAAGGGCCAGATACAGTGGTGGCACTGGACTTCTTGTTTTTCTTTCAATATAAAGGTTGCTTTTTAACCGTAAACTTGGGTTGTAAAGTAGGTTTCCATTCTGGAGGAATGAATAAGTTGGATTTTTTCCTTTTCCTTTTTTCTTTTTTTTTTTGGTAATTTGATGGAAGTTTTCACTGGCAGTAAACCCATATTTTAAACATTGAAGGCATTTGGCTCTCAGGCCTGTGGAGACATACATTTTTACTTCTTGGACTCCCAGGTTCGTACAGGCACGAAAGGATACCTCCCGTGTTGCTGAGCTGCAGATCCCTTGAACAGTTGGCGGCAGAGATGAAGTTAAGCCTGTAGTTAGTTGGCTGATTGGCTCAGCGCTGTGTAACTCAAACCATCAACTTCAACAGAGAAATACTCTTTTCCTAACTTTAATGCTTTCTTAACTGTCTGGTAATTGCACTTGTTCTAGAGGATTTAACAAAATGATGCACTTCTGTATGATATAAAAGTAATGGAGACTTTGGCCTGTGTTCTTTCTTATTAGTGAAATATGGAGTAAACTGCCAGTTTTAGAGCTTTATAACTCAACTAGTATTAGAGGGTAAGTGTGAGGACTTTAGAACTATAACTCCCTGCCTGGGATTTGTTTGAATTTAGGCTGTGTCAAATAGCATTTGGATGGCTTTTTAAGTTGTGAGCAGTATGGTGAAAACAATATTTCTATAGGTCATTTACATAATTGCTCCCTCATCATTCAGAAGTATTTTAGCCTGGGTAGTTCTGATGTGTGTCTAAATTATCAGTCAAACCAAAAGAGACCTTTTACTAAAATTGATGTAGGAAATATATCACTGTTTCAACTACCACACTATTACTTGAAGTGTGCTTTCTTTTTATTGTAAAGCCAGAGTTATCTTAGTATATTTGTGGGCAGGAGGGAAATGAAATATAATATCTGAGAAATTGCTCAGAAATGTTGAAATTTAAAAAAATTTGAAGTTGGCGAATTTTGTGTGTGCAAGGATCAGCTGTGTTGCAGTCCACCTTCCCCACCCTCCTCTATTTTGCATTTTAGGTAGTACAGGTATGAGGTACTTAATGGTTTGAAAAAGTCAGGTTTTTTGGTAGGTTGAGAAAGTTAATTATGATATCATGAGCAACACTGAAACATTTTTTATTGATTCTTTTGGACACTGTATTAATTGGCTACTTTTTACCTGGCATGGAAATCATTTTAAAGATAGAGAAGGTAGACTGTAAGCTTCTTGAGGGCAAAGTCGATATTTTTCCCTCTTGGTTCTCCATGAAACACTTAGCATAGAGCTTTAGACCTAACAGGCATTCATTATTTGTTGAATAAATTACTAATGTGACTCCTGATCATTTGCAGCCATTTAAAATATACATGAATGGACGGACACAAAAGGGAGGGAGAGAAGTGATTTTTAGAAATTAGAATGGGCTTGCATTTTTCCTTCGTTCGAAATGAACTATTTCTTCAGGGGTCCTCTTTAGGCCACCCAGTGGACTAAATCAGGAGGTTTTATGTAATCAGTGGAGGTGTTTTTATGCAGCCAGGATTTACACACAAGGTACTTTGCTGCCCCTCTTATGCAGCACTCCTCATTCTCACCCTCTTTTGGAATGGGTTTGGAATTTATCTGATTGTTAATTAATCATTTCTGGAAGTGTACTGCAGGTAATCTGAATGCCAGACATCAGAAATAGAGTGCTTTACTTGTATGAAAAAAAAAAGAATTAGACTTTTTGTCTACAAGGACTTTATTTACTATAATTATTCAATTAAAAAATACTATCCATTTTATAATATTTAATTTGTTGGGCAAAAAATAGGTTAAATATAATAATATTTCATTTGTTTGGCAAAATATTGAAGACTTTCTGTCTTCTAGGCTATTAATGATCATTAAAAATAATTTTTGTAAAAAGTCATACAAGTAAGCTGTGAAGAAGAAAGTTAAATCATTTTACTTTTTTTTCCACACTGAGAAGCCAGACAGCTGTCACGTAATTCCTCTTCGACTCAGTTTCTTAAAAAGCCAAGGTGCAATCTATATTAAACAACAAAGTATTTAGTTTTACATTATAATGGGACTGATGTGTTAAGTTCTGTTAAGCAGGCTTTTGGTCTGCAGGAACAGAAATGCAAACAGATCAGGCCATTGTTTCACCTACAGGATTTGGAATAGATTGAACCTTAACTTTGTGAATTTGGGATTCTTGTTGAGAAATATTCTTTTGAGGACAAATGTGAGGAAAGAGTCAAATTTAGTTAGTATTGTTGTATCAATGTTTAATTTCTTAGTTTTGGTCAAATGTAAACATTTGGGGAAGGCAGGTGAAGAGTGTACTTGAGATCTTTGTACTGCTTTTTGCTACTTTTCTGTAAGTCTAAAACTATTTCAAAATACAAAAATTTAAAGTATGTAGATTTACAAAGAGCAGGGCTAGATTAGTTTAGCAGTTTGACTTTTTCTTTTTTGGGTCATGACAGTTTACATTTTTACAGTGCTTTAACTAGACTGATAATTGATATGATGAAAATGCTTCAGATCGAAATCAGTAAGCATGAAAGAAATATGCAAGAAATTACTAAACATTTTTAGTGTTATGTGAATGTAAAGAAGTACTGTTGGAGTGCAATAAATTGCTCTGACCTAGAAAATTAAAGGATTTAGTCTCTTACGTTGTCAAAGGGTTATTTTATAGGTTTTCAGAAGAGAAGTTACTTACATATAGTGATGTATGGATAAGTGAACATATATAAAACTGGGCTGGAATAATTCTAAATGAACTTAGTGAACAAGAAATTTGTATTATGTGTTCAGATTATATAAACCCTATGTAATTCAAGCATAATCTTTAGTTTGGGGAAAAGTAAGTTTTACTATGTATTTCTGTGACAGTTCTATAAAAGCTGATGACTTTATTTAAATTACATAGTTCCATAACAATTGCAATACGTTCTAGAAATCAGTAAGCTACCCATTTTGGTAGATGACCTCTTTTGGGTTAAGTATAGTTTCCCTTCAGTTTTTGTTTTAGATTTTATAAAGCTTTGTATAGTGAGTGTTATTATAGAAGTGTCCTGAGACATAGTTTTCAGTTAGAGGGTCAGGAGTTTGAATAAGTAGTTACATCTTTTTCAACAGTATAACATTTTTTCTAAGGGTGGGGTCCATTTTGCTTTTAAGTTTAATTCTAAGATTCTTCTCTTTGAAATACAACTTTCCCACAAACTTCCTTATAGTTTCCTATCTTTATGTGCTTATTATTTTTATGAATCAACATGTTAATAAGTTTATTTTATAAGTAACAAAGTTTAATTGTTAAAGTTTTTCAAAGTAAGTAATGAAAATTTTTAGAAACATACAAAATAATAGAAACTTCCTATCATAGGAGTATTTAGCTTCTCTGGTTCCTAAGACACTGCCGTGGTTTTCAGTTTAGTCATCAGAAAGCCTGAGTGTACACCATAGGTCCAAAAAAACTAGAGAGAGAAAAATAAGTAAGGCTGGTGTTGGGTGGGGAGTAGGAAAGCCTTAGTCATCAACCTTGGTAGTCTGTAGGTTCCCCCCACCCTCACCACCATCGGTGGGGAAGCTGGCAAGGCCAGGGCATAATTAAGGGTGGGACTGTTTGAGGAAAAATAAAAGGAAACAGGCCTGAGAAGGAAATGGTTGTGTTTTCAGGTACAAGCAACCTTAGTTCTGGAGATGCTGGCAGGGAAGGGTCTCTGTCCTTACACTTTTTTTGTGTTTAAGGGTGGAACATGTGGAAAGCGAAGGGAGGGTAATCAAGAGTGACAAAGTGTGCAGGTAGATCAAGTGTACGTGCTATACCTCAGCAGCTTCTGTGACCTTGGGGAGGCCTGTAGGTGTTGAGCCAGGGGAGACAGCAATCTGTGTTTAAACCTCTGCTTCTCAAAACTTAGTGCGCCCAGGGTCACCTGGAATGGTCCTGGTTTGTGGCCACGTTTTGAGAAACGTTCTAAAAGAGTAGTTCTTTAAGGGTTGTCCTTGGACCAGCAGCATCAGCATCTGGGTACTTGTTAAATGTGCAGACTCCGGGCCATGCCCAAACCTACTGAATCAGAAACTCTGGGCGGCTGGCAGCAGTCTGTTGGAACAAGCCCTCCAGGGAATTCAGCTACTTGCTGAAGTGTGACATCTACTGTTCTGAAAGCACTAAGATCCTCATTCTGCTTTTTTAGCCTTTCTTGACAAGAGCTGAAAGAGAGCTGGGGGTGAAAATATAATTTACATTCATGTACTTATTAGCATCTTAATTATCATTGCCAAAATTATAAACAGACTGATGTGATTGTTAGGTGAAGCTGCCAGTGTGACATTTCAAATACTGATCTGATCTGGGAAAGATATTGGATCCAGCCAGTTGTAAAAAAAGTTTTCTATAATTTTACTTACCACAATATAAAGTTTTAATTAAATTTTGCAGTGACGATTAGCCATTGGAAATTTTTCTTTGTTGAAATTATATATAGAAGATATTTGTTTGCTTGTTGTAAGTAAGCACAGAGCCCTGTGTGCCTTAAAATAATGAAGGCACACACGTTAATTCAAGTAAATATTTTTTAAGATTTTTATTTATTTTTAGAGAGGGGAAGGGAGGGAGAAATAGAAAAAGAGAGAAACATCAATGTGTGGTTGCCTCTCTTGTGGCACCCACTGGAGACCTGGCCTGCCACCCAGGCATATGCCCCGACTGGGAATCGAACCTGTGACCCTTTGGTTCTCAGCCTGCCCTCAATCCACTGAGCTACACCAGCCAGGGCAAATTTAGGTAAATATGTATTGAATTCTTACCCATTTTTGGTGGGGGAGCAGCATTAGGATGAAGTGAGCTAAGGCAAGTTAAGGGAGATAGACTTACCATACAAGTCGTCCATCTATTAAAAGTTTCAAAATCTCCTGAGATGGAGAGAAACAAGGACTTCTGTAGTAGAGAACTGGGAATTAACGTAGTAGATGTTGGAACTGTACTGTGGAAATGTGAAACTTTGCCTTTGGAAATGAACTCAACTTCCAAAAGGAAAATGAAAGGTTTTCATTATACATCTCTTTAAAGTACTAACAGTGTGTATCCTAAAATTGAGCCTTCTTTTCCTGTTATCCACAAAAGACAATAATTGCATCTCTGTTATGTAGCATCCAGGCAAATAAGAATGATTGTGATGTCATTTAACAGATTTACCTTGAAAATGTCACCGGACTTTGAGAGAATCAGTCGAAGAGTGCTTTTCACAGGGCAGCCTCGCCTCCGCCTTCCTGCTCCTGCTGCTGCGATCCAGAGCTGATCACTAGGTGTAGCTGCATCCCTAACCCCACCTGCCTCAGCCAGAATGCCCAGCCTTCCTGGTGGCAGGCTTTCTGGACTCACAGCTGAAGGAAGGCATGCTATTTAATGGATCTTCATCTGCCCGTACGTGTGTCTCTGACCCTTTACTGTGAAATTAAATTCTTTAGTGGGAGTTGTAGTTCCACTAGTAGTAGTTTAGTTTGTGGTTGTTTAAACACCTCCCCCAAGACAACTTTAGACTCATCTGTGATTAAAGCCTCATTTTTTTGCTTTAAGATATATTGCTGCTATATTATATATAGCAGTGAAATTAGAAGAAGTAGTGTATATCTGCCAGCTAAGCGAGAGTTCATGTTAACCTTTGCGGCCTTCTCCATCAGACCTTTTAGTAGTAGACCAGACAAGATAGGAGTGAATGGCCATGTGTAGGTGTATAGCATTCTTATGAAGTGGCTTATGTACTGCGCTTACAGCTGTAAGAGTGCAAGAAATTACTTCTATAACACCGTAGGTATATATTTATACACACACATACACACACCTACAGTATATATATGAGACTGATATATATAATATGTCATGACTGATATATATAATATATATACCTATAGTATATCTATGACTAACGTGTAATATCAGTCATATATGTGATATATATCTATGGCTGATATATATGTATATAATATCAGGAAGTCATTAAAATTTGCATGGAAATCGGATTCAGTAAGTTTGAGTTTTTACCACCCAGAAGACTAATGAGTCATTAAAAACTTTTTATATGAAACACAAGTGCTGGGCTCTGAATTGAAAGCAAGGAGAAGACGGAGGCTGGAGGGTGTGCTAGAAAAAGGCTGTGGCGCTTCCCTTAAGAACTGGGGTGAATGGAAGAGGCCAAAGATCAGTGAGTACAGGGTGTACAGGAGAGAGTGAATGAGAGTTAGAGTTGTCAGAGACTTATTAAAATGGATAAGATTTTAGAATCGCCCATGCAGGAAAAGGCCACTGTTTAACAGAATGATTTCTTTCAAAACACAGCAGCCTAAACAGAAAGCAAAGCATTTACTTTTTATGAGCTGCAAAACCTAAAAGCTTACAGAGCATCAGTTTGTTTTCAGATGGGTGACTATTCATTTTAATCTCTCATTCCTATTCAGTATGCAGAAAGCAGATTTATTGCATATAATGAAAAGAATATGTTTTAGTTTGGGTTACTGAGGGTCCATTACTTCTCCCCTGCTTCCAGAGATAAAATCAGAACAGGTTCGAATATAGGCTTTTGACGGCTGCTGAAAGGGAACTCTGGACCACGCCTGTTTTACCATCCAGTTATGATGGACCCTGTCTTAGTCTCTCTTCTCCATTGGAATAGTTTGAGGTACTTCAAATCCTGTCATAACCACATGCTTGAAATTGACTTACTGTTTTCTTTCTAATACAAAATTATAAAGCAGTCTGAAGCATTCCTTTTAAAATAAATGTTGATATGTATAAATGAAGTTACTGGACAATGCTTACTTGCATGTAATAACCACTTAATAATATTTGTTGGATGAATGAATGAATGAATGAATGACTCAATGTTCCCTTTCTTCCCTTTTTGGAAGAAAAAATATCAAACTACTTACGTTTATTGCTGTTTCTTTCTTTCTTTTCTTTCTATTGAGTTTGACTTTTTTAAGCATTTGTAATAACCTTAACAATAGGCTCAAGTGGTGAGTTTTGTGCTTGGTATCCTTAGCAATTTATAAGCCTATAGAGATTCAGTTGCTAAATTTAAGGGGAAAAGTGTTATCTTTTATTAATTAAATATGTAAAAGTAAACCTGTAATTTTATCATATATAATACAAATTTATAATTCAGTTATTGCCAGAAAGTAGAATTTCGATATTATACTGATCACTAAAAAAGAAATTTATTATGTAGTGGATTTATCATGACTCTGGGGAGAATTTGATTTAGTCACTGATATATTGAAAGAACCATGGTTCACTAGTAAGAAGGTGCTGTGACAGAGAATAATAGATATTATCTCTGCAGTTTTTATATCTGATATAGATGAAGTTAATTATACCTACACAGAGCTCAGACTTGTTCCTGTTAACATTGGCTCATCTGCAGTACAGCAGGCATGGTCTTGTTCCTTTTGCATCCAGTGAGGTATACTCACAGGCTGTGAAACTTGATAAAAAGAGGCTACTTTAACAACAGTTGCAAGAACGGTGGTCTTTACTTCCTTGACTTTTGAAATGTGGACCACTGAATGTGGTGTAAACCTTCACAGCTGTTACCTACTGGCATCATGTCATGTGTGTATGTTATGCGGGTTCTTGCTCTATTTTCTGTCAGTTACCATCTTCATTCTGTTTGTGGTTTGTGTGGCTTTTCACAAAGCCCCTCCCATTCTTTCCAGGGCTGCTCAGTGGGCTGGGAGCCACTGGAGGAAGCTTGTTGACAGTCTTGTGTTACTGACTTTGGGAAGGTTTGGAGCCGAGGCCTGCCCAGTCACAGAGGGACCTAGGCAAGTGGAGGGTGTTAAGGCCCTTGCTTCAGATTCGGGTCCCTGCAGTGTGGAAAGAATGTCAGAGTTCCCTGCCATCCTTCCTTTCACTGCTTAGTGCAGATCAGGTATTCCAGATTTTGAATTCTGTTTTTACCATTAAAGACCATGCGGCCTTGGACATGTTACTTAAAAGTTCTGAGCCTCAGTTTTCTTTTCTGGAAACGTACCTTGTTGTCTCATAGTAAAAACTAAACAAGAGAACCAGTGTCATGGTGTTAGGAGGCCTCTTGAGATGACGGAGTTATGTCAGCTCAGTCAGTTCAGTTCAGTTCAGATGAGATCTTTGAATCAAACAACTAGCACCAGCTAGTGCTAGACCTTTGAATATAAAGAAGATTATGAGACAAGATGATATTAGAAAGATTATTTTCCATCACTTACTCCTTTATCTCATGTTCGCTGAAACATATAGACACTGTAGCATTATTGTCCTTAGGGACCCCAGAAGCATGGGCCAGAAACTTGGCATTTTGATTGTAGTAATGCTTCAAATACTCACAAACCTAAAAATGGGCATACCAGTCTGTTAAAGCATTTGAAATTTCCACTAGCTCATCATTTTGACCAAGAAAGAAAGGTACTTGTTGAAATGTCATCTCTGGGAGAGGTGGCTTATTAAGTCATCTTAAATATGACATCCTCAAGTAGCTGTCACCTCAGTAAGCTGACATCCTTAGATGTCAGATTTCTCATTTGTGATATGAAGACATTTAATTCAAGGATCTATGAGGTCTTTCCAATCACTTAAAAAGCGTGATGCTTGTCATCTACTATATCTTAGCTCAAAGTGGTTTGTCAGATATCATGGTATAAGAGAATGGGACCTGGATCAGTGGGTCATTTTTGATAGATGAGGATAGGAGAAACGTCTAGAACACCGGGTCAGATCTGAAAGCATGCCTGATACAGCATGCATTTACTTGTTAAGAGGTAGTGGGTGTTGAAGGGATGTCTGAAGCATTTTAGATGCTTCCTACACTTGCCATCGGCTGCCTCTGCACAAAGGAAGATATGCACAAAGGAAACTCACTCTTTTTCTATGTACTTGAGGATGTAGTTGCCATTCACAGGTTGCCACCAGAGGCTCTGCAGCAACTAGACTGTTTAGGCTGTGATTTTCTACTTTAATATTAGCAACATACATAAAAGCTTTATTTCAGGAACTTAAAATTGATAGTTGTAAGTGAGAATCTTACGTTGAGCACTAATCATGTGCTGGGTACTATGCTGAAAGGATATGACATTCTCAAACTTACTGCTGCCCAAAAGCTTGGCTGAGAGAACTGATGGAAGCTTTGGGAGGTAAAGCAGCCTAACAAAGGCAGGTCCTCTGAGCGTGGGGTGTGCACCTTGTGTTATATCGGCCTTCCCCATACATGCAGATGCAGAGTGCCTTTTACCGATTTGTGCTTTCATTTGATGCCATCCACCTGTGTTGAGGTGTGCCCTATGTGAAAGTATTTCAAATAGACTGTTGTGTCTATTAGAAAGATACTGACGTATGTTACATTACATAATACTGAATCTTTTATAAAAGATATTTTATTGATTATGCTATTACAGTTGTCCCATCCCCCCCTTCATTTCCCTCTGCCCTACATACCCTGTCCCACCCACATTCCCCCCTTTTATTTCATGTCCATGTGTCATAAGTTCTTTAGCTTCTACATTTCCCATACTATTCTTGCCCTCCCCCCTGTCTATTTTCTACCTACTGTCTATGCTACTTATTCTCCGTAACTTTTCCCACTCTCTCCTCCTCCCACTCCTCTGTTTCTAACCCTCCATGTGATCTCCATTTCTATGGTTCTGCTCCTGATTTAGCTGTCTGCTTAGTTTGCTTTTGTTTTAGGTGTGGTTGTTAATATCTGTGAGTTTGCTATCCTTTCACTGATCATATTTTTTATCTTCTTTTTCTTAGATAAGTCCCTTTAACATTTCATATAATAAGGGCTTGGTGATGATGAACTCTGATGAACTCCTTGAACTTGACCTTATCTGCCCTTCCATTCTAAATGAAAGCTTTGCTGGATAGAGCAATCTTGGATGTAGGTCCTTGCCTTTCATGACTTGAAATACTTCTTTCCAGCCCCTTTTTGCCTGCAAGGTCTCTTTTGAGAAATCAGCTGACAGTCTGATAGGAACTCCTTTGTAGGTGACTGTGCCCTTATCTCTTGCTGCTTCTAGAATTCTCTGCTTCATTTTTATCTTGGCTAATGTACTTATGATGTGCCTTGGTGTGTTCCTCCTTGGGTCCAACTTCTTTGGGACTCTCCGAGCTTCCTGGATTTCCTGGAAGTCTATTTCCTTTGCCAGAATGGGGAAATTCTTCTTTATTATTTGTTCAAATAAGGTTTCCACTGGTGGCTGTTCCTCTTCCCCTTCTGGTACCCCTATAATTCGGATGTTGGCATGTTTAAAGATGTCCTGGAGGCTCCTAAGCCTCTCCTCACTTTTTTGAATTCTTGTTTCTTCATTCTTTTATGTTTGGTTGTTTCTTTCTTTCTTCTGGTCCACTCCATTGATTTGAGTGCCAGTTTCCTTCCCATCACTATTGGTTCCCTGTGTATTTTCCTTCATTTCACTTAGCGTGGTCTTCATTTTTTTCATCTAATTTGCAACCAAATTCAACCAATTCTGTGAGCATCCTGA